TGGAGTTACTCTTTTATGTGCCTTCCTGCGCCTGAAGATGTTAGAGAAACACACCTTTGGAATTTTCATGAAAGTTCATGAATACACACTATCATTTATTAGGAAAAGTCATTAGCTGCCAGTAAACGAAAGCACATTGTATCAGAAATGAGTGTGTAGTGTAAGCTCACAACTGGGCTGTGAGGTCAGTGTCATGAGTGGTGGGTGTGGATGTGGGCTCGGAGTTTCCTGGCAGGTGAGGCCAAGAGAACCATTAGAGAATACACCGCCATTGGTCCCTCCTGTAACCTTTCATGGCCTCCCTCTGGCTTCCCACTTCCCATCCCAGGTTGCTTTGATCAACAAACAGTGCTAGAGTGACCCTTTATCTCCTCTCTTCATCAAAAAGCAGGACTTTAATTCTTCTGGAATATTTGTTTATAGCCCAGTGGGATTGATGAACTAGACAGAAGTTTGGTTTTATAAGATAGGGGGAATAAGTTCGGGACAGCTGTGGGAGATTTCAAACGCTACGTTAGGACCTTCAAAGTATTAAAAGTATTGGTACTTTATAAAAGAAAAAAATTCTTCTGCAGAAAGTTAAAAAAAGGGGTGGGGGGAGGCATTTGACAGTGTTACCTTCCCTCCTAAGGAATTGACGTTTAGCTTATTAGCTGAGATAAGGCGTAGATCAAGTTTTTTGCCTTTCACGTAATTAATAGGCAGTAAATGAGTTTTAACTGCAGAATTTGGGTTCCGTCTTCATCCTGATGACTGAAATGGATTTTCCCTTGTTTCCTTGGAACAAAGAAAGAGGTAGTGGGAAGATGAAGTAATTCTTCTATGGTCGCTCTCGTATGAGCTCAAATTTGGAGGAAGTAGATTTGGTGACTAGTCTGAAGTAGACTAATTTACTATTAGCAGCATGGTGACAGAATGGTGACAACATATAAATGCACCAGCTTCTTTTCCACATACACCCAGTCAGCAGGAGCAAGCTTGAAACACATACCAAAAATCTTCTTGATGACATTTAAAAATATTTTTAAATACTCTTTTAATTACAGCGCTTCTCAGGCCTCATGGTAGAGCTTGTGTGTTTCGAGCCCACGTTCTACTATTCTCTTGGAATTTACAAGCATAGAACTACCTAAGAATTGCAAAATTAAATGATGGGGAAACTAATTAACATTTATTGCAGGCCCATGACATGTCAAACATTGTCCTGATGCCTCACATTAAATTCTCTTAAGGTTGACATTTTTTACCGGACAGGGAATGAAAGGACAATGAGGTTAAGTAACCTGCCCAAGGATTCAGGGCAGGGGCACCGGGGAAATGTGATTCATAGCAACATCTTATGAGTCAACCATGACGCAACATGCAAACGCTCCATGAAATAATTCTTGTCCAGAATTTTCCCGATTACACACAGTGAAGTTCTCTCTCTGTTGTTGCTGACTGTTAGTTATTTTCTGTGCCATTCTGAAGCCATAAGTCTATAGCTTTGGCCCTTGTGGCATCAGATTCTCTTGTAATTTTAAAGGACAGCTCTGGAGTTTGCTTTCCTTTGACATGTTTTAACTAAGAGATCAACTTAAGTGTTTGGTTATTGTATCAACACATGGAGCTTAGTTCACTCCATCGGCATGGGTCTGAGTTTTTAATGGCTAGTGAGCGTCCCAGATGTGCAGTGCAGAAATGCAAAGGTAGTCTTAGCCTTCACTGTAGCTCAGATTTAGGTTTCAGTGACTTCCAAGGTGGATTATTTGTTGCTGGGTTTTTTTACACCAACTAATTTCCTTCAAAATTAGAAGTAATACATACGAGAGAAATGATTAAAATATATGCCCATCGCTCTCCTATTTCTTAAGGATACCAGTACAAAGCCCCAGTGATAAACGGGGCAAGGAAAAGGTTAAGGGCAGAGAGTACCTGAAGTTGTGAATTTCATCATTACCTTGATGACATCCTGAGTTCTGAGTCACCCCACATCTGCACCAACCTTGTGACCCAGGCTGGGTAACATTCCTGAGATGAGCTCTGTCCAGTTATCAGCTTGTTCATGACCGTTCCCTTTGACCTCCTGATGGTGCCTTTTTGCCTTACTTAATTTTGTTGGATTTGGCCTTTTGCTTATAGTTCTGCCCCATGAACTCAGCTAGTTGGAATTTCCATTTGGTAAAAGGAGGATGCTAATGGTATATTTACTACCTTATGGTACTGTCGAGAAGATTAAATAAAACAATTTAGTAATGTGTTTAGGATTACGATAGTGCTTGACACTCAGGAAACCATTAATAGGTGTTAAGTTTTAATTTTAATTTACCCCTGCGTATATGCAGGATTTTCACTCATATTTTCTTGGGAAAAACCAGACTACCCTGCTTTTCCAGGGTTCTAATGGATTCTCTAAGCCTTCCTCTGATACCCCACTGTAACTTACACAAGAAAATTAGCAAAAAGCAGGGGTGTTTATTAACTTTGTGTTTGAAAAACAAATAGGGATAGAGACTTTCTTACTTACAACTTGATGATGTACATTCATTTCCTACCCAGAAATGAATCGCAGCTGGGCTTAAAGAATAGAAAGTGGCCCTAACTGTGTTTCAGAAAACCAATTTTAGTAACACAGATTTTAGGTTTGTAAACCAACATGACTTTAAGCCTCTGGGGATAGCTATATAGAATTTCATGCTGTGTGTGTCAGAAAGAGGCTGCATTTACACTTTGTCCTCTATTCTGTAATTTCTAAGTTGGTGTATGGGTTTCTATTATAGAATTGGAGAATATATAGAAAAAAGCAGAGCTGTCAGGTTTCCTGTTTCTTAGCTCTAACCTAATGTACCAAAATATATCTCAACATATCAGAGCTGAAATTATTTTGACATTCCTGCACACTGGCTAATTAAGAACTCAGCTATAAACTCTATTTAAAACACTGGTCCAGTTTATTTCTTTATATTTTCATTTATTGCTTTGTGATTGCTTATGAGATTAAAATGTATTTAATTATATTTTACCATATGTATTTGCCCTACTTCTGAGGGAAAAATAACCAAAAATTAAGTCAAATAGAACCCATTGGGTGTCTGAAGTGGGTTATGACCAAAAACCATTCCTTTTTTTAAAAGAGATATGTAAGAGAAATTCTTTCAGAACATAATAAAGGCCTTCCTTCAGACTAGGAACATTATTTTGGTCATCTTTCAACTCACTGCTTTTTTCCTCCTCCAACATTAAAGGCATTCCAGACAGGAAATTCACATATGGGGTGGAAATTAGCAGATAGAGACACATTTTCACTGAAGAATAGCGCTCTCCTATGTAACACCCAGCTTTTAGAGATAAATGTAGATATTTCACTCTCGTGAGTCATGGTTCGAGAAATATAAGGAATAAAATTTTCTGTTCCAAATGGATGACATTAAAAAAAAGGGGGGGGACTGATCAACAAGAACTTTCTAACTAAACCCAGAGTCGTCCTTCACCTGGGACAGAACCAGGTCGTCTGTCATCTGTACTTTATAAACCTCCACTGGGGCCCAGGGCAAGGCTCTCTCTACGAGACTTGTCTTAATTGTGGGGACTAAAGAGTATTGACAATGGATCTCTTCCATGTTCATCAAGGAGAAGCAGCTGATCTTCCTCTAAAGAGCAACAGTTTCATTCGGTTCCCACTGATAAACGTGATGGCATCAAAATGAACTTGAAAATAAAAATACCATGCCTGTGTAGTTCTGGCAGTGGTTCTAGACTGAATTTATTATTTATAATTTTATAATTTATCATGTATTTGGATTCATTTTTGTGCCAGAGGAGAAAAATTAAGGATTCAAATACAATTGTAGTTTCTGATGTCAGAATCAAAGGCCTCCGAGAAGTTGGGGACTTCACCTGGAGTAAAAAATTCTGTTAATGAGCACTGAATTAGTTTGAATTCTAGTCGGGCAATTGACCATGAGGGACATTTTTACGTTGCTGTGGAGTATTTCTTTGAAGCCAAAATCATCTCAAAAAGCAATGAATACAAGTCTGACACAACTAACAAGCTAGATATAACTAGAGACGCTCTAGGCTTTTCATTTCTTGGGTGATAGTTTTCTTTTAACTGGTCCTGCTTATACTAAGGAGATAGGCCAACCACTACTTGCCTTCGGTCTTCGAAGATACACGTGCTTATATGAGCATGTATATGAACAATGGAGTTTCAAAGGAGTTTGTAGTTGGAGATTATTTTCTAGAAATTTGTGATTTGTGCTTCATCAACAGCTGTGCCATTTCTCTGGGAAGTATTTCAAGATTGTGAAGCCTTTTATAAATGGCTGCCTCTGCCATTTTGTACGTAAGTGCTCGGTACTTAGTATCTGAGCTGCTCATCAGAAAGCACTTAAGAAAAAATAATGCTCCACTTCTCTTCACCATTGACAAGCTTGCTATTTAATCACGGAGTCTTTGGTCTCAGTTTATTTCTTCCCCTTGCTGCGACTAGACACTGTGTAATGGAGCTCTTTACTTTTTACGATGCGCTTTTTAAGAATTTTTGATTGTGGCCAAATACAGGTAACACGAACTTCACCCTGGTCACCATCGTGAAGTGGCATGCTGAGCTCTTTACTTCGTGAACGGTAGCCTTCTTCTAGTTTTCATGCTTCGAAGCATCGGGGCCCGTTCTGGCTGCCAAAACAAACTACCGTAGACTTGCGTGGCTTAGAGAGGGAGGTTTATTTCTCACGGTGCTGCAGGCTGGGAAGCCCCAGGTGAAGGTGCGGGCCGAGGAGGTGTCTGGGGGCGGGTGCTGGGCGGCCTTCTGGCTGCGCCTCACCTGGGGGCCAGGGCCCGAGCACCGCGGGGCGCCACCTTTCTGGCCTCATCACCTCGCAGAGGCCCCGCCACCTAGTGCCATCACCTTGGGGGGGGGGATTTCAGCCCGTGAGTGGGGCGGGGGGGGGCACAGAGGGTCCCTCGCGGAGCCACGAGTAACTCCTTCTTGTGTTGTGTCCCGTTGTGCTCTGTTTCAGAGCTCCAAGATGGGAGGCAAGCTGAGCAAGAAGAAGAAGGGGTACAACGTGAATGATGAGAAGGCCAAGGACAAAGACAAGAAGGCCGAAGGCACCGGGACCGAAGAGGAGGGAACCCCGAAGGAGAACGAGGCCCAGGCGGCTGCCGAGACCGCAGAGGTGAAGGAGGGCGAGGAGGAGAAGCCCGGCAAGGATGGCCCGGACGCGGCGGCCGGCAAGCCCGAAGACCAGGGGGGCGACACGGGCCCGGCCGCGGCGGCCAAGGAAGACGCCCCGAAGGCGGAGCCCGAGCCGGCGGAGGGCGAGGCCGCGCCCCCGAAGGCCGAGCCCGAGCCCGAGCCGGCGGCCGGCGCCCCGGCTGCGCAGCCCGAGGCGCCCGCGGAGGCCAAGGCGGACGACAAGGGCCAGGGCGCCGCGGAAGCCGCCAAGACTGAGGCTCCCGCCGCTCCTGCCGCGCAGGCGACGAAAAGCGACGGGGCCCCGGCTTCAGACTCAAAACCCAGCAGCACCGAGGCGGCCCCGTCGCCCAAGGAGAGCCCGGCAGCCACGGAAGCCCCCAGTTCGGCGGCCAAGGCCCCGGCCCCCGCCGCCCCCGCAGACGCCGCCGCCGAGGCGCCCGCCGCCTGCGCCGAGCAAAGCGTCGCGGCCAGAGAGTGACACGGACAGCCTCCGGAGCCCGAGTCCCGCCGACCCCGCCCGTCTCTGTCCCTTGTCTCTCCCTCTGTCTCCCTCTCCTCCACTAACGCGTTCACACTGGAAGTAATGATACGTATCCCAAGGAAACTAAAAGATGCATAGGTGAAAAGGATGCTGTCCCATGGAGGGAGGGAGGGGGCGGGGAGAATCCAAATAGTATTTTTGTGGGGAAATACCTAATATACCTTCGGCCAGCGTCACCAGTCAGTCCTGGGTTTTGAAGATCGCGCCTGGAAGTGCAGTACACCTGCACCTGACGGCCGGCACGCGCCCCGCCGCGAGGAGCCCGAAGGTCGCCTTCTGCAAGGGGGTTGGGAGTGATGCGCTGGCTTCTGCCCGCACGGCCTGTGCCAAGGCAAGCAGATCTTTACGAAAGCAGTATTTTCTGTGTTTCCTTTTCAGTCTACTGCTTTTCTTACTTTGATATTTTTTTTTAATGTTGTGGATGAATGCCAACTTTCAGACAGCCCACTTAGCCAGTCCACGTGTATCTATCTCGATGCCAATACTCCATTCTTCCTCCCCGGGTATTCGTGGGAGTAACAAACATTCTCTCATCCTACTTAGCCTCCCTAGACTTCTCATGACGAGTTAATGCATGTCCGTGGTTGGGTGCACCTGTAGTTCCGTTTATTGGTCAGTGGAAATGAAGAAAAAAAAAAAAAAAAAAAAAAGTCTGCGTTCATTGCAGTTCCGGTTTCTCTTCCATTCTGTGTCACAGACACCAACACACCACTCATTGGGAAATGGAAAAAAATGAAAAAAAAAAACAAAAAACAAAAAAATGTACAATGGATGCATTGAAATTATATGTAATTGTATAAACGGTGCAACAGTAATAAAGTTAAACAATTAAAACGAAATAATGAAGACTGTTGGTTTTCTTTTACCACCCCTTCCTCCTTGGTAATTACCTCAGTAGAGAACAGAGTGCTCTATTGGACATGTTCCTGGTGACGTTTCCATAGAAGTGTAAGGCAGGGGGCGCCTGGGTGGCTCAGTTGGTTAAGCGACTGCCTTCGGCTCAGGTCATGATCCTGGAGTCCCTGGATCGAGTCCCGCATCGGGCTCCCTGCTCGGCGGGGAGTCTGCTTCTCCCTCTGACCCTCCCCCCTCTCATGCTCTCTCCATCTCATTCTCTCTCTCAAAAAATAAATAAATAAAATCTTAAAAAGAATTAGCTGGTGGATCAGTGTCAATCCATTATCTTGGAGAGGCTAAACTGAAAACTGACTTTGGCTATGGATATGCACCCTCTAAAAATGGGTGTTATTAATTTACTTAGAACAAATATTTTGAATAAAACGAGGCAGTAGGTGGAGTTGATCTTGAAGGCTGGGAAAGAGAATTAGAAGATCTTGTAGAAATATCCTATGTATGTACGTTGTGAGACCACTGATGATCGTGTGATCCCTTTATTTGTCATACTCATGCAAAGCCTGGAAAGGGGACCCAAGGGCCATGAGGAGGCAGTGAGAACAGCACTGTGAGAACAAGCATGGAACTGGGCTTCGTGGTGGCCGGATTCCTGTCCTGGTTTTGCCACTAATAGACTTGTATGGCTTTTAAGTCACTTAGCCTCCAGGCCTCCATGCTTTACCTACAAGAGGGTGAAGCCTTTATGATCGCTAAGGAAAGACTCCTTTCACTTTGGAGTATGTAGTAGTTTGTGTGTATGCCTGGTGATAATTTTATAGGATGGAGAGGTGCGCACCGACAGATGTGACTTTACCTCCATTCTTTGAGGGTGCTCGGATCCCATATATTCTGTAGATGGGGAAGAGCTTGGAGAACCCGGATAAGCAGTGACTTTTACTGAGAGTGCACATGGACCTGGAACACGAGAAAAGAAGAAATTGTCTCTTGGATCTCTTGGTAGTCATTTGGGTCTTTTCCAATTGGATTCTAGAAACTAAATCTCAAATGTAAAGTCCTTTAAAATGAACTCAGCTCTAGCCACAAAAAGTTTTCTCATGATTGAATCAGATAAATGACAGATTTTGCGGGGAGTGGGATTGGGTGGTAATTAATCAGGAATAAATACAGCTTCACACCCTAACATAGAAAATTTTCTGTAGAACTTGTGAAGGGTCAGTACACTGGAATTAATTCCCAAAGAGAGATTAGGGATACAGGGGATGCAAATGAACCTGGTCCTGTTCCTATGGGTTGAAGAACTCGTCTCCAGTTAACCTCTGAGTGGTCTGTAGTGTATACCACGTCTAAGATGTTGCCAGTGGGTAATGCTGGGAGAAGTAATGGTCAAACTGAATACTGGGCAGATATACCTGTGGGTTCAATTCATGTCTGTCATCACCTTTTGGCACTTTTGGTTCTTGTTTCTATAGTGAAATGAATTTGAATACTTAATGCTTGAAAGCACAGCATACAAGAAATATGTAAACACCTTAACCACCAAGCACCTGTTTTAGGTAAGGAAAATGGCAGAGGAATGTCCAGGTTGTTCAGGATGTGTCCTGGCAGATATAAAATAGCCTGGGGGCAGGTTGCTGTTGCGGAGAGGGAGAGAACAGATTCAGTGAGCCGTGGAGGACATTTATATGGTTACTGATATTAAATGCCGTACATTTCTTACAGGTAAATGTGATTGGTGGGAGTAATATGTTATACATTCACTGTCTTTTCATCCCCTTCTTTTAGTTAAAAAATTCACTAGGTTTTTTGGTGATTAGAACAATCAAATCGGGGGTGCCTGGCTGACTCAGTCAAAAGAACATATGACTCCTGATCTCAGGGTTGTGAGTTCAAGTCCCACGTTGGGTGTAGAGATTACTTAAAAATAAAATCTTAAAAAAAAACCCAATCAAATCAGCCTCCTGGATTAGTATTTATTACTATAAATCACTGTTTAGGGATAAGTGAAACTAAAGAGACATTGTTTTCTCCGTTGACTTACCCTTAGACCTGTTGGGTAGCATATAGGAGAATTAAAATCTGAGCCAAGTATTCATTTTATGTCCTCTTTTCTAACTCTTTGAATTGTGTTCAAGCAATTAAAGACAGTCATAAATGTGGTCACCAAAATATTTAAATCAGACTTTTAACCTAACTATGGTTCATGACATTCAGTTCTACCATACTCAAGAAAACTTAAGATGTAGTCTGAAATCATATATTGAGCAGAAAATGTTGTATGTGTGGGAGTAATTGGCTCAGCCAGGAAGGGAACAATTGGGCAATCCATGTTAATTTTGGATTAACCTAGATTGTACCCGCATCGTGAACAATCTAAACTGAAGAGAATGCAATACACAGGCTGTGCTTGACAGGCAAGTCAGCACTGTTCGGAACTCACCACCTATTTGGCCCATTAACTCACATGAGTACAACCTCTATGAAGAACGAAGGGTTCCAGGGTCTAATACTTGTTGGGGACCTAATGGGCATACACTACAGGGGAAGCACAAGAATGGAACTTGTCCAAGGTTACCAGCTTTGTCCCTCCAATCTTGAAGGTCCTGTCTAGGGGCTGACACTGCCTCTGCATGATGGAAATGGACCCAAATCCAAAGAGCAGGGGTGCACCAGGCATCCCAGGGTGGCCCTATCTGGCCTCAACCCTAGGAGAAGATCATCTTCAGCCTGGCCCTGTCCATTGAAGCAGAGGTCACACATGGCCATGATCCATCCGGGAACACGATTCACTATTCTTGGAGAGTTTTCCAGTGGGGTCCAGACCCAAGGTCTAGCATACAGTAGGGAATTGGTGGCCAATTCTGGTGCTGACAAGATCTAGACATTCTTCGGCTGCCCGAGTTGGGTAAATTGGTAAGGGCCAGCAGCTACATGAAGTTTGTTTTCATAAGGCATCCTGAATCCTTAATTTTCACTCAATGAAACATCATGGTGTATTGAAATACACTATCTTTGTCGAAACATAGATACAACATATCCCTTAATGTCCACCGTCAAGAGCTGGCTTTGGGACACCCATCTTAGGTTGCTTCTTTACAGATAGAAGGCTGTGACAGACACATGACTGATTTCAGTCAAGTTTCATTTATGCTATTTATAAAATTTACTATTTTGGTGATCAACTTCTTGTCTCAAAATCGATGAGATTAATCTTCATTCTTTTGATTGTTACTTTTAACTAATTTCTTCACTACTGAAAATTGGATGCTCAGAGGGTAATGTTAAGAATATGCCAAATAACACCATCACTAATAGTTGTGAGAGAAACCAGATGAGCTTTTATATGCATCCTTATAAAAGGAGGCAAGATTTGCCTCATTTTTAGCTGGCACTGCTTTTGGTCTGCCAAGTAGTTAATATTTTAAACATTTAGTTCAGGGACTGCAATTTTTTAATTTCATTTTTTAAATTTAATTTTTAATTTATTTTTTATTATTTCATTTTACTGTTATTTTTTTTTTTTTTTTTTTACCCTCTCTGCTACTGGAAAAGTGAAAAGGACAATGTAGGGAGTTTTCATGGAGATATATGTCTTTGGTTTAAAAAAAAAAGCTATACCTTTTCCTGAGCCTGTAAGTTTCATGCCCCCCCCCCCAGCTTTTTAAAGATTTTATTTATCTGACAGAGAGAGAGAATGCAAGAGAGCACAAGCAGGGAGAGCTGCTGAGGGAGAGGGAGAAGCAGGCTCCCCACTGAGCAGGGAGCCCAATGCGGGACTCTATCCCAGCACCCTGGGATCATGACCTGAGCCGAAAGCAGATGCTTAACTGACTGAGCCACCCAGGCGCCCCTGTTTCATGCCTTTTTAATCAAAAAGATTTTATTGATGTATGAAATCTCGAAGTCCCAGAAACCACTGTTTTGGAACATTTCTCTGACTCTTTCTCAGTCTTCATTTTATTAAGAGCAATTTTCTTTCTAAAACTGTATTCTTCTACCTACATAGAGACTTAAGTAAAGAGAGGGAATATCTTTTTGGAAAAGAACTGTGATCGTTAGAAAGAATACTCTTAGTGTAACTGTATACACCAAAATGAAAAATCAAATAACAGTATCATATATCTCTATCTCATGTACACTTGACCTTTGTATTTTTTTAAGGTCCAAATATAACATGTGTTCCTCATTTTCTTTCCTTTGAGGATAGTTTTATGTTTCTCCTGAGTTTCTCTCTGAGTCCAGAAAGTTCACTTTTAATATCACTCATTTATAAATTAATTGGCCTCATATAATGTATCCATTGCTTTTGTTTTAGCTCTCTCAGGCCAGTGTGTTAAATTGTCAAGTGACAAAATGATGAAGCAATATGCACTGATTTAGAATCATTTAGAGAGTGTTCATATTTGTTTTCTTCACAAATGTTTTTGCTTAGATAGCCCAGGATTTAAGAGAGTAGGAGTAAAGGGGCCCTCAAGAAAAATGCTGTTTTGGGGACTTCTCATCTTAAATATGATTTTACATCTATTTCTTAATTCTGAGGCAGAGTATCAGATAATGAAAGCAAAGCCTGGTAGGCTACAGGCTTCCCTGAAGCCATGGGTGTAAAAAAACATAAACTAAAACTTAAAAAGAAATCTATTTCTTAAAACCTCATAAATATTCTGATAAATTAAAAAAAAAATATGTTGAAGACTGAGTTCCAATCACTAGTAAGAAAGGCTTATTACTGGCAACCTCACTCTCTTTTGGCTTTTTAAGCTACGAATGTCTTGAAGTAGAAAATATCTTGGAAGAGGCACCAAAGACTTGCCTCATAATAGAATAAATTAATCCTTAATGTCGCTTGGACTGTACTTAAGGGCCACACAACCAGAAAGCCAGGCCCATCGTGTTGTTACTTAAAGGAAAAAGTCACCTTTTTTTTAAATTTTATTTTTACCTTGAGGAAGATACATTTGCTTGTAATAAAATTTTGTTAACAAAAAGAATG